CTCAGCCGTTTTCCCTGCACTGAGCTTAGTTCCTCTCCAAGTCTTAGCCACCCCTGCCTCGCAGCCCTGCAGCCCGACCCAGCCTGGAGGCAGTGCCCCAGGATGCAAACACAGAAGCAGGAAGCTCGTCCCCACTCAGCTCAGCTCTCCAAGTTCCTGCCTGCCTCCAAAGTCTGTCTGCTGTTGTTCACTTCTTAGAGCTTCAGTTCAGTTCAGTTCAGTTGCTCAGTCGTGTCCGATTCTTTGCGACCCCGTGAATCACAGCATGCCAGGCCTCCCTGTCCATCACCAACTCCCAGAGTTTACCCAAACTCATGTTCATCATCTTTCTGTCAGTGATGCCATCCAACCATCTCATCTTCTGTCGTCCCCTTCTCCTGCCCCCAATCCTTCCCAGCATCAGGGTCTTTTCCAATGAGTCAACTCTTCGCATAAGGTAACCAAAGTATTGGAGTTTCAGCTTCAACATCAGTCTTTCCAATGAACACCCAGGACTGATCTCCTTTAGGATGGACTGGTTGGATCTCCTTGCAGTCCAAGGGACTCTCAGGAGTCTTCGCCAACACCACAGTTCAAAAGCAGCAATTCTTTGGCTCTCATCTTTCTTCACAGTCCAACTCTCACATCTGTACATGACCACTGAAAAACCATAGCCTTGACGAGATGGACCTTTCTTGGCAATGTCTCTGCTTTTTAATATGCTATCTGGGTTGGTCATAACTTTCCTTCCAAGGAGTAAGCGTCTTTTAATTTCTTGGCTGCAATCACCATCTGCAGTGATTTTGGAGCCCAAAAAAATAAAGTCTGACACCGTTTCCACTGTTCCCATCTATTTCCCATGAAGTGATGGGACCAGATGCCATGATCTTAGTTTTCTGAATGTTGAGCTTTAAGCCAACTTTTTCACTCTCCTTTTTCACTTTCATCAAGATGCTTTTTAGTTCCTCTTCACTTTCTGCCATAAGGGTGGTGTCGTCTGCATATCTGAGGTTATTGATATTTCTCTCGGCAATCTTGACTCCAGCTTGTGCTTCATCCAGCCCAGTATTTCTCCTTATGTACTCTGCATATAAATTAAATAAGCAGGGTGATAATATACAGCCTTTGACACACTCCTTTTCCTATATGGAACCTTTCTGTTGTTCCATGTTCAGTTCTAACTGTTGCTTCCTGACCTGCATACAGGTTTCCCAAGAGACAGGTCAGGTGGTCTGGTATTCCCATCTCTTTAAGAATTTTCCACAGTTTGTTGTGATCCACACAGTCAAAAGCTTTGGCATAGTCAATAAAGCAGAAATAGATGTTTTTCTGGAACTCTCTTGCTTTTTCGATGATCCAGTGGATATTGGCAATTTGATCTCTGGTTCCTCTGCCTTTTCTAAAACCAGCTTGAACATCTGGAAGTTCATGGTTCATGTATTGCTGAAGCTTGGCTTCAAGAATTATGAGCATTACTTTACTAGCGTCTGAGTTGAGTGTAATTGTGTGGTAGTTTGAGCATTCTTTGGCATTGCCTTTCTTAGGGATTGGAGTGAAAACCGACCTTTTCCGGTCCTGTGGCCACTGCTGAGTTTTCTAAATTTGCTGGCATATTGAGTGCAGCCCTTTCACAGCATCATCTTTCAGGATTTGGAATAGCTCAACTGGAATTCCATCACCTCCACTAGCTTTGTTCGTAGTGATGCTTTCTAAGGCCCACGTGACTTCACATTCCTGGATGTCTGGCTCTAGGTGAGTGAGCACACCATTGTGATTATCTGGGTCGTGAAGATCTTTTTTGTACAGTTTTTCTGTGTATTCTTGCCACCTCTTCTTAATATCTTCTGTTTCTGTTAGGTCCATACCATTTCTGTCTTACAGCTTCAGGTAATTGCTATTTATGTTTTGCCTGGAGGTTTTCTTTGCAGTTGACCGGAGAGAGAGGAGAGAGTCAGCATCGAGCCTGCTCCATCCCAGCCAGAACCAGAGCTGCTGGGGCGGCATCAGTCCTGGGCGGGAGCACCTCTCCTTAGCTTCAAGGACTGTTCTCTTGTCTTAGTGTGTGGATTGTCTGTTCTTGTCTTTTGCCCAATTTTCTATTTGGTATTTAGCTCTTCCTTCGTTTTGAAGACGTCCACGTGTTTTAAAGATACTTTAGGTTTTTAGCCCTTTTGATGTCCAACAGTTAAACGACTCCTGGTTAAGTCTTTTATTTTCTTAGTTGGGACTGTAATGGAATTTTCTCTGCTGGGTTGCTGTTTGTGTCCATGGAGCCTGTTGAGTTCTCTTTGCTGCTACCACCGTGCTGAAGTTTTCCTTGACTGTCTGAGTCTGTTTCACCCTTTTTTATCTCGGCTCTCCACGTAAACCAGGAGCTCATTGCGGCCCGCACGTGGCGTGCGGTCAGCGCGCTCTTCAGGCTCAAGTTCAGAAGGGTCGCCCTGCTGTCCCCGTGACCTTGACTTTTGCCCTGAGTCTGAGCCGCGTGTCCTCTCTGGGCCCCTGTGGGTGGGTCCGGAGGTTCCTGAGGCCTGGGCAGATGGGCGGGCCTGTCCTCGCGTGTCCCCCGGGGGGTGGTGGGTGGGGCGGCCTGTCCTCGCGTGTGGGTGGGTCCGGAGGTTCCTGAGGCCTGGGCAGATGGGCGGGCCTGTCCTCGCATGTCCCCCGGGGGGTGGTGGGTGGGGCGGCCTGTCCTCGCGTGTCCCCCGGGGGGTGGTCCGGAGGTTCCTGAGGCCTGGGCAGATGGGCGGGCCTGTCCTCGCGTGTCCCCCGGGGGGTGGTGGGTGGGGCGGCCTGTCCTCGCGTGTTGGTGGACGGGGCGGCCTGTCCTCGCGTGTCCCCCGGGGGGTGGTGGGTGGGGCGGGCCTGTCCTCGCGTGTCCCCCGGGGGGTGGTGGACAGGGCGGCCTGTCCTCGCGTGTCCCCCGGGGGGTGGTGGGTGGGGCGGGCCTGTCCTCGCGTGTCCCCCGGGGGGTGGTAGGTGGGGTGGCCTGTCCTCGCGTGTCCCCCGGGGGGTGGTGGACGGGGTGGCCTGTCCTCGCGTGTCCCCTGGGAGGTGGTGGACGGGGCGGCCTGTCCTCGCGTGTCCCCCAGGGGGTGGTGGACGGGGCGGCCTGTCCTCGCGTGTCCCCCGGGGGGTGGTGGACGGGGCGGCCTGTCCTCGCGTGTCCCCTGATAGAGCATCTCCTCTGCAGCCCCAGAGCAGCCCCTGCCCCGAGCAGCCTCTCCCCGGCCCGGTCTCTCCAGATCTGAGCAGGCTGCACTCTGCTGCAGCTCGGGCCGTCGTGGTCCTCAGCCGTGCAGCGTTGAGTGCGCCCCAGCCCTGCACTCTGCTGGGTCCCTCCGCACCTGCAGGCCCCCCGACTGGGCCGGCCTCCTCGTCTGCTTGCGCTGTTGACAGGGGCCGGTCCAGGGTGCTCCCCATGAACCACCAAGGCCTGGTCTCGGGTCCTGGTGAGGGATACTCAGGCTGCAGTTCCAGCCCCGAGGTAGCTGAGAGCTGTGAGGCGATGTCGGGCAGCTCTGGGCGCAGCTCCAGCTCCAGTTCAAGCCTGACAGTTCCGCCGGCGCGGGGTCTCGCCCTCAGGGGCTGCTCCTGTAAGATGACCTGCCCCCCAGAGCCCTGGCCTTGTCCCTCGCAGGCCAGGACTCCAGGCCAGGGGTCAGGCACAGGCTCCTGCCCCTCCTGCGCCCACACGGTGTGGGGGGCCTGCAGAACCCAGAACCCCCACACAGTGTAACCCCTTGGCCTCCTCGTCTGGGGGCTGGGCTTGGGGGCCTCTTGGGGCGTGTGTCGCAGTGGTGGAAGAGCCTTCAGACTCTCTTAATTTTTTAAGAAATGTGTCTTGCAAAACGCATAGCTGTGCTCTGTGGATTAACTGTTGGACTCCTCTGCCCGCCGAGGGGGAGAGTGACAGGCCAGGGGCGAGGCCTCCAGGTGGCTAGGTGCTCACCGCTCAGGGCGGCCAGCTGCCAGGAGATGGGATAATGTGATTATTCTCAATTAGATTAATAAAGAATAATTAGACGTCATAAATCAAGTCATCATGGGGTATTGTCATGGGAAAAATATGTAGCTAGAATTAATTAGTTTTCAAATAAAGCGTTTACTTTAATTGCCTGAAATGATGGAGCCCTTAATTGCTGAGGCTTCGTCTTGGCCTGAGCGTCCGGCTGTTGTAACAACGTGACGAGTTTGTTCCCTGCGTCCTTCCGTCGGGAAACAGGGTGAGGGGGCCTGATTCATCCGCTGGAGCCAGCCCCGTACAGGTTCTGGAAACTCCCGTCAGGCCGCGGGCGGATGGCGAGTGCAGGCTGGGCCTCTGCTGGTGCTGCCCCAGGCCCGTGCTGCGTGTGCGCGCGCCCGCTGTGTGAACACGTGTGTGTGCCTGGTGGCCTGCACTGTGGGAGCCCCTCGGCCCCTGCCCCGTGGCACTCTGATGGCTGTGTGCAGACTGGGGGGGACTGTCCGGGGCCCAGCAGGACAGCCCCTCAGCCGCCCTGGGCCGTTCCCAGCTGTCCACTCGGCCTGGCCCAGGACCTGTGGGCAGACAGGTGGCTGCCAGCGGGACTGGGGCAGGGTGGTCAGGGGGGGCTCAGAGTGGCCCCGGCAGCTCCTCCTTTGGGGGGTCCACAGGCCTTAATCACGAGACCAGGGATTTGAGGCAGGGTCTGTGCTCTGTGAGAGCAGCCCTCCCGGGCGGTGTAAAGTTACCAGGCCTGCATCTTGCCTGCACACCGTGGGGGCCGCTGCTCTGCCCCTGGGTGGCAGCGTGCGGGGTCCGGAGCCTGGAGGAGGCCACTGGCCGGCCCGTTGCTTGGGCCGGGGTTGGGGGGATGACCGGGACCTGCACACCCCCGACTGCGCAGAGAGGGCTAGGCAGGAAGGGCAGCCCCGGGGATGCAGAGGGCAGGGCAAGGGCTCCAGGTGATGGGGGCCCACCGTCTGGGGGACCCCGGGGCGCCCATGCCATCTGGAGGAGTGAGGAGCACGTGGTTGTTCATGCCCCCCTCTGTCTGCAGGCGAGTGCATGGCAGCCCCCACGCCCCCACCGCCGGACCCCCAGTTCGTTCTGCGCGGCGCCCACTCAGCCGTGCACGCACTGCACTTCTGCGCTGGAGCCGAGGGGCATCCACTGCTCCTCTCAGGGTGAGTGCCCTGCCCAGGCGGCCAGGAGGAGTTGGGGGAAGGCCCAGGCTGCCCCCACCCTAGGCACGCACCCTCGGCCACCCCACAAGCATGCAGGGTGTCTCTCTCAGCACCCGCTCCCCAGGAGAGAGCTGCTCCGGGCTCCTGCCCTGCCTGGAAGCAGAGTACATCTCCCGGGCGCATGTGGCCAGCTGTCCCCTGCAAGTTGCTGGCTGGAGCGCCTGCTCACTGGCCAAATAGTGTCCCCCCAGCCCCCACCCCACACCCAGGCCTGACTTCAGCCCACCCCCCGAC